TGTATGTAGGTATGTATACAAGTAGGCAAGTTCGTATTTATGTATATATGCATATATGTATATATACATGTGTTTATTTGTATTTGTATATACATATACATACATATTTGTGTACGTTTGTATATATACACGCGTCTACGTAGATGATGTTCTGGTTTAATGTGTTGCATCGAGTCTTGGTTCTATGTATATAGAAGCACATGAATACATTGATTCTAATTACAGTGCGACGCCTGTAGGCTCAGCTGATAGAAATTATTTGATTGGCAAATAGATTGGAATAGCCGTTCAGCCGTATAGTTTACTAGCAGTTATTTTCTCTCGAGATGTACGAAGACTATATTTACACTGTATTTGTTCTCGATAGACTACCGTGTGCTATCAATTTATTTCAATAGAACTACCTCCAGCTACTTGATGAACACTCAGAAGTCATTTCTTTTGTAGTATATACCTAAGAACAATAAAATCATACGCACATAAATATTTTTGCAGACTCCCGGAAGGAAGACTAGAGCGAAATGGAATCATCTTTGACACACAGAACCGTAACAACCACTCCGTCACATGGTACCAGAAGGTTATGGGGACGTACTACTCCACTATGTCCTTCCGAGACTTTCCCTTTGACTCACAGGCTCTGAAAGTGACGATTACCGGAGAGGTATGATAAGCGGGTGATCTCTTGCAAACATGTACACTTGCGAGTATCTACATACGTTGTACCTACATTAGTATTTGCAGGGATATGTCCACTCATTTGTACTTAGACCAGGCGTATGCATATAGACTCTCACGCTGAATGTGACCGTGTACCGACATACTGATTAATATCTATCGGCACGGCAATTTCACTTGTACTGCAAAAAGTGAATACGCGCATATTACATACGCACACGATTTTCGCGGTCTCGCCTTGCTGCACATACTAATTTGAACATGCTCATGTGAAAATCACGCATGTACCTTGGTTTTAGATTGTCTGATGCCAGCCGTGGAGGAAAAATATGAAGTCGTTTTTTCTTTATACGCCATATTGCAAATGTGTGCACGGACAGATGGTAGCGCTTTCTCGGGCGGGGGTTCTTTCTTTCGAATTCAGTAGTTACCCGTGTACCAGAGATCTCTGATGGATTGTCTATCTCAACCGCGCGTTTTGGTGTTATCATATACTTTAGGTGGGGTGGAATCTTACGTTCCTAGCGTCGCAGTCAGGCGTATTGAACGTTGATATGGAGCTCATCGGGGACGACGTCACAGGATGGAAGTTCAAAAGTCTGGATTTATATCCCTGGAAGGTAAGAAAACACACCCATTGATGTACCGTATGTATAGACCGTTTCGAAGTTTTGCAGTCTCTGGTGGCGGTGGTGTGGTTACCTGCAGAGGAGGGTTTCCGATAAGTGATGTTAGATCGGGCACAAGAAACGTTTATGTATATGGGCTCAGTTTATGTGCATCAATACATATAGGTGCAACTATCCAGAAGTTTCATATATACTTATGCACACATGTGTACCTGCTCATAGATTTTAACATACATACATATACATACAAATGTATTTGCTCATATTTGCATATATACATGTGCACACATGTGCACCTGCTCATAGCAGTTCACACACACACA